TGTCACTGCCTAACATTTGGTAAAAACGTTCTCAGAATGTCTGGAAAACTTTTATAAAAAACGTTATTAGAACGTTACTGAATAATGTTCGGCTAACCTAAAAGAAACATTCCCATAACATTCAAGGAACATAACTTTGTTAGCTAGGAGTTAGTACTTACTGTGACATATCCGTGACTAACTGACACCACTAAATTGGTAAAATGTTCCATGCACCTTAAGAAATGCTGAGAAATTACGAGGTTATCATCGCAGAACTCTTGAACACCGTACGTCACAAAGCTATATGTAAACAAACACGCGTGTTGCGAGGTGCCTGCCTCCGATATCCATTTCGAGGCCCGCTAAGCCAAGCATAAAGCGCGCGGACAAGACGTTACACACACAGCTACGTTCATTGGCTAAAACAATCGAATATTTTGGGAATTATTTAATTTGAAGAAAAACTTCAATGTTCAGTGAATGATGCACTCGTTCACTTCCGACAGCGAGTGAAAATGCCAAAAAAATTTCCACTTCGATGCGAAATGCATCGGCCAGGCATTTTATTATTTACGAAAAGTAAGCAGGCTGGTGAAAGACAGTAGGTACAGTAACTGGTCACGTTAGTGATGCCCCATTCATGCCCATCAACGAAGGGGCTTATTCTGATTACGGAGATGCAAAAATGCAACAGAAGGACGTAGCGCAGTGCGCTAAACAGAGTGTTATTTTCGTATTTGTGGCAAACTCTATCGTAGGAAACCGTTCTAACATAGCAGAATGCCCTAGTTCCTGAGATTGGCGATTTGGTGGTCCAAGGGTCCCCACCTTTAAAAATATAAAAGACTGGTGCGGCATAGGCTGTGATTGGAAGACACAAAGAGTCAATCCTCGGCGCGCCTCGGCATCATGGCCGCATCACGTCCAGATCCAAACCTAAAATACTTACAAAGTTGGATACTTTTGGGGGGGTGGGTGGATACATAAATCTTTTTGCATGCGTGCACGAAGATGGTTAGCTATTTGTTTTGTTAGAAGTTTTCTCCAACCTCTACTTTTTCATAATGGGGAAATAGCCCTGAAGTGTTGTTCGCACTTGTGCAAGTTTTCGGCAAGGTTGCTACCTGGGAGCTTCAAACGTTGAAAGGCCTGTAAATTAATCCATTTTACACACGTGTTTTGAACTTCAAATAACACTTAGTAGTTAGTACTGTATTCGGTTACTTAGTGTTATTTGAAGTTCAAAACGTGTGTAAAATGGATTATTACAGGACTTTTAACGTTTGAAGCTCCCATGTGTGATGTGTACTATCTATTTAGGCATACAGATTGAGACAACCTTGGCAATCAATGTCATCAATAAAAAAATATAAAAAAATAATGTTAAAAAATTTCACAATTTTTGCCGTCACGTAATTAGTGATGAAGTTTTTTTGATTAGTTTTATCGAAAGCGTAGAGACTCGGAGACATTTCTTTTATTAAATAGATATGAGTTTGATTGAATTTGATGAGCAGTTATGTTGCAATGCCCTTTACAGAGGTACCTGTCCGTAAACCTGACTGTATCGTTAACATCAAAGCTCCAATCATGAAAAATTAGCCTTTTCCTGCACGATAACACCCGTCAAAAAGCAGGTAAGTATGTAGCCTCTATCTGTTTTTAAAGTAAACAGCTTGCTCCAGTTAAACTGCAGCTCGTGCGGTGGCTGTGTTTCAGCAGCTAAGGCTGATTCCACGTTATTGTGCTTACTCAGGTCTAATCTATAACTACTGTATGTTTACCTTGCTTTCAAAATTTTTGCAAAGTAATGATGATTAGCCCCTGATGACGTTGGTTCTGATCAAGCGGGACTTTTATACACTTTAGATTGACTCTTGTTGCAAACAGTAAAGACCATGTGACAAACTGACATTGACATTATCACAAAGTCATTGCCTTGATGACGACAGATGACTTCACTCACTCTCTCCCCCGCGGCACTATAAATGAACCAGCCTAAAACATTTAGGGGCATCAAAGTTCTAATCTGTTTATCTCTATACGGGGTAAATACAGTGTTTATGTTCCTTGTCAAGTTGAACATCAGGTGTGACAGTTTTGCAAGTGCAAGGTCGTAGCAGCGTAGTTGGCTTTTCTCTATCTGATCAGTACATTTTAGGTAAGTTGCATTACTATTTTAATGCAACTTAAATTACTTTATAAGATCAACATGACCTTCCACATAGCTCAAATTACACAGGGGCGGATCTAGAGGGGGGGTCGAGGGGGTCCGACCCCCCCTTTTTACCAAAAAAAAAGGGCACACGCGCGTGCGTGCACACACACACACACACACACACACACACACACACACTTCTCTTATATTGTCTCCATAAAAAAATCTTGTTTAGCGCTATAGTTTTTCTGATAAAGATTTACTTATATATGTAAATTCGTTATAAAAACCTAGAAATGGGCAAAGAGGGGCCCGCAGGCATCCGGGGGACCGGATCTGATAAATTTCTAGACATTTAAATTAGACTAGAAATTTCTTGATGCATTCTAGACATCAAAATTACTGCTCAGATGCTCTCAGAATGCACCAATTTTTAAAAAAAATCTTGGGGGAGGTTCCCCAAACCCCCCTAAGTGGCCTTTGGCAGCTTTTTAAAACACCAGAAAAAGTAAGCAGGAAAAAGTGCCCTTTATTTCTTCCTGGACACCCCCTTTTCAAAAATCCTGGATCCGCCCCTGTTACACGAATAAAACTCGGGTCAATGGAACTAAAATTATAAGTCTAAAATTCCGGCCAAACGTTATGCTTGCATGCCGAGGTCTGCTCGTGGTATATAAGCAATGTTGATAGACACTAGATAGTGTAATGAAAAGTTGTGCACTATGCAGATCGTGAGCGTGTAAGTACCCCTAGGCTCTTCTCTGCATTATCACGTCTTTACCTCCGCCAAGGAGGTTTTGTTTTCGCCCCTGTAAGTTTGTTGGTTTGTCTGTCAACAGGATATCTCAAAAAGTTACCGACGGATTTTGATGAAATTTTTTGTGCGGGTTGGTCTTGGGCCAACAACCAATCGATTAGATTTTGTTGGTGATCCGGATCCAGATCAGGATTTTTTTATTTAAAAATGGTTTTTTTTGTGGGGAAGACTGGGCACATTCAAAATTCATTTAAAAAATCCTCGATCTTTTTTTCAAATATCTGAATATATATTCTATCTATATTGGGTGTACCAGCAAGATGGGGGGACTGAACATTACGCTGTGGCGGAGGTTTGCTATCTCCAATTGCTTTTGTTTTGGTCATGTATTGTTGAAGTTGTCAGATTAATTGCGTAATATGCGTATAACGGTGAGACAAAATAGATACTCATCGCAGATGTCTTACATTACAGTGTGTTACTGTTCCCACACCTCGCACTCCCACGACTATTGGGTTTTAAGAAAAACCATTCCTAAAGCTTTCGTGCATGGACGCGACCGCCGACGTAAATCCAGTGCTTTGCGTCGTTGCAGGACGAGGGCAAGCGAGCAGACGAGATGAGCGTGGCCGTCTGCTTCGTGTGCGGTGGCCAGGGCGCGCAGTACTTGCTGCACGCGAGCGTGAGGGAGCGCGGCGCCTACTTCCCATTCCTCGAGCAGCATGAGCCCCCGCGCGGCGCGTTGCCGCCGTCGTCGGACGGAATCGTGCGCGCGTGCTCGCTCTGCTACTCCTTCCTCAACCAGCAGTGGGAGACGTACGAGCGCAACCGGACGCCGCACCGCAAGCGCCTCTACTGGCTGAAGCGCAACGACAGCATGCCGTTCATAGGTAACCAGCGCTGCTGCCGTAGACTGCCGCTTACTTACTACGTTGCGCAATGTACAATGTTGTTTTCGCTCTGCGTTTTAGTGAATAAATTTGCATATGTTTGCATTGTCTGCATATATGTCTGCAGTTTAGTAAGAATCGTTGTCTGGAGCGTAGTGTCTGCGTATATGCAGTGTGTAGCAGCTTGTTTGGGTGTTGCTAATATTGTTTTACGTTCAACTATATATTATGTGCATATCATGTGTGTGCATTAGTATATATATATGTAAACATTATACTTATTCATATAAATTGAAGCCTGGGTGGTAACGTATATCAAATTATTAATGTTGAGGGAATTGACTGGCATAACATGGTGTTCGTGCTTGGAGTTGTTTTTTAACGTGTTCGTTATTTACAGATCTTTAGTAACCTGGTGTCATTTTCTGAAACTATGTCTCTTGGTGATTAAAACTCGTATAGATTACCGATCTATCAACTTCTGTAGCGTTAGACTATGGATCCATTAATCTTTTGTTATCATGTTAATAATTTTTATATCTATATTAATCATAATCTAATATAGTTTTCAGAAACTGTGCCTCTTGGCAATTACAACTTACCTAACACTAAGCAACATATCAAATAGCAGTTCTAAGGCTTTTCAGTGGTCAAACAGGGTGTACTCTATTTGGAGATTTAATACTCTGAGTGCACGCATGCACACGTGTTTTAAGTGTAATGCAGAGTTAGCAAAATTTTTATTTCTGATGTCAGGATGTACACGACATAGATCCTTAGGCCATTATTAGAAGTATTAACTATTATTATTAGCTCTTATGCAACTTTCTTTGATAACTTGAATAGGTAGGTAGGTTGGAAGGTAGCTAAGTTAGTAAATAGGTAGATTATTTTTTTCATCATTCATCCATACAAGTTATATATCATGCCTTAGGTAGCATTAAAAAAATATCAGCGAATTAGTCTCAGACTATGGTATATTCAGGAAAAAAGAAAAAAAAGAGAATTACTTGATCTTACAATAATAAAACAAATTTGAGTTGGGTCGTTTTTGGTGGATTGGTCAGATGCAATGCCAACTGAAATGAAAACTTTGAAATAGTTTTTCAAGTTTTCAGAAATCAAAAGTTAGTGTGATTTATGTTTGAACCTATGCATTACTTCGACTCGCAGGTGCAGAGCTGCAGCAGCAGGGCGAGTACATGTCGCACGTACTCGGTCTCCACAGCTACGAGACGGGCGTGCCGCCGCCGCCGCCGCCGCCGCCGCGACCGGACCACTCCTCCAGACTCGCCGCCGACCTTCACCTGAAGGGCGGGGCGCCGACGCGCGACGCGATGATGCGCCACGACGCCGGGCAGCGCCGCGGCGAGCGGTCAGCGCGCCCCGAGGCGACGAGCGCGAGGGGGGACGCCGCGCGGCGACCCGGGTCTGCGCAGCGGCCCGACGCGTCGTCCCGGCCCCCGCGTGCGGGCGCGCCGCCGCGCGGTGACGGCGCGCAGAACGTGCGGCCGGACAACTGGAAGCTGCGACTCGCGCAGGAGGAGGTGCGCACGCGCGAGATGACGCAGACGATGCTCGCCGGCGTCAGCAACGGCGCGCTCGACCTGACGATGCCGTCGCGCTCGCCGAGCCACGTCGTCTGCTACGTGTGCGGCGCCGAGCAGGCGCGTGGGTCGGCGCGCGAGGTGCACGCGGTGGCGCGCGACGCCGCCTTGCAGGCGCCCTTCTTCCCCGCGCTGCTCGAGCACAAGCGTCCCGCGAAGGCGCAGCCGGTGAGCGACGGCGGCGGCGTGCTGACGTGCGCGCCGTGCCACGACTTCCTCGGCCAGCAGTGGCAGTTCTACCAGCAGCACCAGGTGCCGCAGCACCAGCGCAAGTACCAGCTCTTCGCCGACCGCACCGCCACCGCCGCCGCCGCCGCCGTCGAGCCGCTGCTGCGCTGCTTCCTGTGCAGCGGGGAGCACACATCGGCGTCCACCTGCTTCCTGTACTGCCGCAAGCAGAGCGAGGGACACGCCTACTTCCCGTTCCTCGAGACGGTCGCGCCGGCGAAGGGGGCGCTGCCGCTCACGCCCGAGGGACTGGCGCGCGTCTGCCAGCACTGCCACAAGGTGCTCTCGAAGCAGTGGAAGGAGTTTGAGGTGAAGGGCGTCGAGCAGAGCAAGCGCGCCTACAGTCACCCGACGCTGCCCGTGATGCTTCCGAACGTGCCAACCGCCGACGCGCAGCGCCCCACCAACCCGCTTCCAAACACTCCGCGCGAGTCGAGCGGCGCTCTTCGCAGCGCGGACGCCGCGGCGGCGGCGAGAGCGGGCGTGAAGAGCGCGCTGCCAGGCGGCCACGCGGACGCCGCGAGCGAGGTGTGCTGCTACCTGTGCGCGCAGCGGTGCGCGTCGAGCAGCGTGCGCTTCGTACACACGAAGCCCGGCGCGTCGCACCGCATGCACTTTGCGTTCGTCGGCGCGCTGCCGCGGCCGCCCGGCGCGCTCGAGGTGGACGCGGACGAGCGCGCGGCGACGTGCCACGACTGCTACAAGCACCTGCGCGCGCAGTGGCAGGTGTACGAGAGCGCCATGGCGCCGCATGCGCTGCGCACCTATCGGCTGCGTCGCCCGAGCGCGCAGCCGCCGGCGGCGGCGGCGGCCGACGACAAGCCGACGGCGGCTCTCCACATCGAGGTGCCGGCGGTGAGCGGCGGTGGCGCCATCTCGAGTCGCGCGCCCGTCGCGGGCTTACTCATGACCGTCGATTCGAAGCAGCTCCCTCTGGCGGGCGCGACGGGCACCTCGTCGGATGCGGGCAAGGCGAAAAGCAACGTGCAGCAGGCCGTGTGGGATGGGGAGCATTCGAGTAGCCCGGCCGCCGGCGGCGGCGGCGGATGCGGGCCGCAGCAGAAGATCTGTTACGTGTGCGCTGAGGTGGGCGAGCTCTCCAAGTGCATGATGATGCTGACGCGCGCGAACGCCGCGCAGCCCTCGCTGCCCTTCTTCCCGATCCTCGCGAGCCTCGAGCCGCCAGAGGGCGCCGACGCGATGGGCGCCGACGGCGGCGTGCTGGCGTGCCGCTTCTGCTGCTTCCACCTGCTGGAGCAGTGGAAGCTGTACGAGATGTCGCCGACGCAGCACGCGCAGCAGCGCGCCTACAACATGGCGCGCTTCGTCTGCTACATCTGCGGCATGGCGACGCGGCGGCGGCGGCTGCGCGTGCTCTCGCTGCGCAAGTTCACGTCGCTCGTGACGCGGCCGCGGCCCCCGGGCAGCGTCGTGCTGGACGGCGGCGACAGCATCGTCTCCTGCCTCATGTGCTACGAGACGCTGTGCAACCAGTGGCACGAGTACGAGCAGATGGGCGTGCCGAACAAGCTGCGCCGCTACAACTGGCTCGCGGCGCCGCCGCCCCCCGTCGACGAGGACCCGCTGGAGGCAAACCGCGCGGTGAGTCGTGTGTGCGTGCACGTCGGGGTGCTCTAGCTAGGATTGAGAAAGCGTGAGTCTCGAGTGACTGCCGCAGTCGTGTCGTTAGTGGAGTGCTAAATGCTCTCATCTGCTAGAGGCGTTCGGGGGGCATAATCTGGATTTTGAAAGCGTATAAAGAATGGGAAGTGGCCCTTTTTTTAATAAAAGAAGTAACAAGAAAGACGTCAAAATAAAACTCGTGCATATAGTTTTATTCACTGAAACAAACGCATAGCATCAGCTGTTGGCAGTACAATTGACTCTCTAGCTGTGAATAGGTTAATGAAAAGATGGCAAGATAGCTCGCTACCTAATACCCTAACACATGCTAGTGCAGGGTCTGAAACTATTAAAGCAGAATTTCTGAATGTTAACAAGAATGCCGTTACTAAGAAATTTGGGGATCCGTGTAGGAATTGAAGGGCTGCATTCCTGGAAAGTCATGAAAAATGGGCTATGGGCCTGCATGGAAAGGCCTGGGGCCCGTTGTCAGAAACATCGTAAAGTTAATGCTAATGTTAATGCTAAGATAACATTTACGACTAATGTTAATGTTACGAGAGTAGCGTTGACAGAAATACATCGCAGCTATTAGAAAACCTAGGATAACAGAAACTTCATCACAAGGCTGCTGATTGGATGAGAATCGATCACAAAATTCAAATTCATACACATTTATTGTACATCACAGTAATTTATGCATATTATGATGGCTAACCACATATAAATAATATTTGATGGTGGTGGACGTGGTCATGAATTTATTCTTCACAACATGACAAATTCTCACACTGTAACGCGAGACGCGAGAGTCGTGGCAAGCGTCGGCATTTCTTTAAAACAAGAGAACAAATGCCATCCGCCAAATGTATTGTTTGTTTTATTACGGTAGATAATTAATTGATTTTGAGTGTTTTTTAAGAAAAACACATTTTATTCATTATTATATAATATAATATCACTATAATTGTAATTCGTAGTGTAAATGTGTTATTTTTAACTTAATATTAAAGTTACGAGAGGTCTGGGCTCTCGTAATGTTAAGAGGTATTTGCGAGGATTGTTTTGTTCTCGTAACATGTACGAGTTGTTTCTGTCAACGGTTAATGAGTGGAAGTTAATGTTAAGACTAATTTTGTTTCTGACAACGGGCTTCTGGAGCATTGGTTGCTATTATCTAGAAAGTCATTGAAAATGAACAAATTTTTTATCTTGTCCAAGAGTCATTAACAGTTTGCTTCATGCAATTCCTAGACTAATTGCATATTTGGCGATAAAAAAACCACAATGACTCGGCTAAAATTCATATTCTTTGAAAACTAGAAACTGTTAGAAAAGTTTTGCATTAGGTGTACAAGGCATGAAATTCAGATTTTTTGCACCGGCCCAAGAGGCTGGCAAGAGCAGTTTTTTTTACCAGCCCTCACCATAATTTACGAACCCTCCCAATTTTTTTTTCAAAAATAAAGATAAGTCTGTTTCACCGACTCTTGCTTGTCCGAAAAATGTTGTAGTGTGCGGCATCGGTAGTAGCTGTTGAAACAGAGACTATAAGTATATTAAATGAGGGCAGATCGTGAAATTGAAATGTCCGATAACGAAGTGTTTTTGTCAATGTCATGTTTCACGCTTGCATTCTCGATTTCAAATTTGTAAAATGTTGATAAACTATGGCGTGATATCATTCACGTAAAACAGTATTGTAGGCTATTTGCTCATTTTAAATGCTTTAAATAAAAAGTAGGTACTCGCTAACACTGCGGAAACCACCGGCTCGGAGGGCCAGTGTTTTGCCAATGTTACTTACTGGCCCTCCAAATCATTTTCCGTCATATGCCGGTGGGCCGGTGCTAATTTCGAGCCCTGGGTGTACAAACCCTGTAAGAGTATGATCTTCTACCTGTAACCCGCACAGTGCGTTGTAGTGATGGAAATTGGTTAGATTTTTATAATCACTTACTAGTTGCACTCATTCAATTGATGATCCATCATACACAGCTAATTTAGTTGAGTGTAAATACTACATAAGCTGCGTTCACACAAGGATTTCAGTTCCGTACTGAGCGTTCACACGGTAAAAATATTCAAGACTTTTACCCGGCTTAGCAAGTACCGTACTGAAATACGAGGCTTATTCAGCGCGGAATCACATTCTGCGCTGAAACATTCAGCACCACGCTGGCCGCGTATTGTCTGTCGTGTGAACGCAATTCGAGGCCTCTTACTTTAGTGCGCTTACCTAGACTGGTACCCGTTCACTACACGACGTTAGTGTAGCGTGTGGAACTGGCGACTGGGTACCAGTCTATATTATACCTAGCCAGCTAAGCCTCGATTCTCGTGTGAACGCTCCGAGTTGTGTTAGCACGGTATTTCAGCCGAATTCAGCACCAGATAAGTACGGAACCAGCGAGGCCGTGAATCTCGTGTGAACGCAGCTATATATGTATAAGGTATTAGCGGAAATTTATACTATGTATAATATTGTATTACTTTGCCGTAATTTTTCATAGTAGGGTAAATTATCGTGTGATCTCGGCTCGTTGCTCACATTTCTCAAATAGTTCAATTCTTGTTGCCAACAGATGGCGCTATGTGTAGCAGAGTACAATATTTCGCGATAATAAATACCTTGTTGCTTCACGCATGCTAAAAATTTCGGTAGTCCATCAAACTCATATTATGCATGATCGTGTTGTGTATCAGTGGTAACACACGCACTATACACTTGTGTTTACAACTGTATACTTTTATGTTTTAGTTTTAGTTTTAGTAATCAAATCCTACAGAACTTAATCTTATATGCTAACTTTCTTTTCCATCTTTTACTGTTAAAAAAATGACAAGCCTATTCTGAGGAGATAACATCAAGTTGTATATTTGTAAGCAGAATAAGCTTGCTAGGCTCGTTTGCAAGCATATTGCTGTTGAATTTTACATTTCACGTAAATGTGAATGCTTCCTATATCGCGTATTAAAGTCCTGATTTCATCTCATTAAAGTTTAAAACATACGTCTGACTCCAGACGTGGCATGATAATGGCTGCTACTGCTATTTATATATTGTGCCTCGTTAGTGCTCATCATTATATTATCCCTCTGTGTGTGCGTACATGCGTCTCCGTGTGTGTGTGTGTGTGTGCGTGCATGCGTACGTGTTTGAAGGCCGCTAGGTGGCTTGTAAATCTTGTTGTTTAGTTGATCATATCTATTTAGTTAGCCATTCGTGATAAACTACGATAAACTCCCGTTCTGGCAATTTAATATCAGATTTTTCGTCATAAAGGTTTTGTTAACTCGTTCACGTGTTATTTATAACGAAGTGCACAGTGTTAATTGTTGTTAACAACAGTTAATTGTTGTGAGCCCCCCCCTAAACAGCCGTTGGCGCAGCGTATTGAATGAGCGATATCAAGATGTTATGAGGGCTAATCTAGGTCACCTGTTCACAGCCGGACCAAGGTCGTGTCAATGGTCGATGTGGATTTGAAATTTAACCTGTAAAAAATAGCGAGATAGCAGAAGGCATTGTCAAGAACTGGTTTATAACATTTATGACCGAACTGTCTTAGGGTATATGACGGGAGCATACCAGGCCGTGGTAGGGAGTTGATGATCATAAAAACTTACGTCACGATAGCTGGCCATGTTTAGCAGCCGCTCATAGAGATTATACCAAGCTTGACGAGGGATCGTTCTGTGTGCATCTGTAATTCCAAAGAATCCAGTTTGTAGTTCATTTTGACTGCTAATGTGACATGGGAAATCAGCCGCCGTCAATAGTGATAGAGAAGCACCTGAGACGAACCTGCTATGAGGTAAACACCACCGTATTCAAGCAGACAGCTAGCTCCCCACAGCGGGAGAAAATCGCAGAAAGTGAAAATCAGACGGTAGACTACTGATTCACGGTAGAACTTGTACTTGCTGCCAGAGAAAAAGACAGGCAGCAAATTTACTCATCCACGCAGAATCCTTGGTGCTTTTACTACGGTCTATTAGGAATCTCTTATCAGCAAGTATTTACTGCTGACATTGAGAACAGGCAGCAAACTGGGTAGGCAGCAAAACTGCTGCTGGCTGCCCTTACTCATAGGGTCTATGTCCCTCAGGGTACTGCCGGAACGTACCCTGATAACTATCTGATAGGGTTAGGGTTAGGGAGTAGGCGTAGGCGACTCCTTAGACTCGTTAGTGGAGCAGGCAAGGTACGGTCCGGCATATTAGATAGTACCAAGGTACGTTCCGGCAGTACCCTGGGGGACATAGATCTTCTCAGCCTTACTTTCGAACCTTGTGTTTATTTTTTGTTAGGTTGCAATCATAGCTTTCGTATTTTTAAACACTGTCTTCACGACATGTTTACCCGATTCCTATGGTTCTGGTCGTGGTAGCATAGGTATCATCAACGTAACAGCATATATATACGAGTAGCTTGTAAGCGTGCACATGTATACATTTCAGCGCGTAACCTCTGACGAGGACGCACTGTTATTTCCACCTCAATTAGCAGGTAATTAGCACCTACCGAGAGTCGCTCTGTTGCGCCGTGACCGGTCTAACGGTGGTGCCAACCTGCAGTGCAAAGCTTTGGTTGGTAACGACTAAAATGTGCCGACATACGCCCCCCATGCTGTCGCACCTCCGCACGTCATTCCTGCCGTGATCAAGTCGGAAATGGCGAGGAGGGCCTAGGAATGAATGAATGCCCAATAAGCCATTATTCCTCATTTTGTAAATCGGAGGTCCACACAATAGTGTCAGCAGTGGCCATTGTTAGCGTTATCACGAGCGCGAAAGGTAATAAACTCACCGCGAAAAAACCCATCCCAGGCTAGAACACGGAAGAACTTCTTGACGCTTCTTCTCGAGGTCTTTAACGATGTGTAAGTGAGATCAGGTTTGCCACTTTTAGAGCACATGGGCTGTTGTACCCAGTGGATTTTTTTTCGTATCAGTAACTATTGTGATCACTATTAATTTTTTATTAAATGATAATTTTTGACTGGTCCATTTAAAACCAATGGTCCATTTAAACCACCATGGTCCATTTACCATTATTTGCAATATCTCAGGAAGACAATAAATCTAAGGGAGGGGAGGGGATACAGACTGGATTTCATCCGGGTGTGATCAATTTTTAGGGATTCTTAAATAGCAGGTAGCTGTGACATTTGAGAGAATGTTTCAACGGACACAAGAATAAACGGTGGTTTTTCACTCATGAGCTATTATTGTATTGATTTCTGAAATAGAAAATCTGTGTTGGATAGCAAAGCCACAATTTCACTGCTGCCTCTAAAAATCAAGAATCGGTTGGAAGAGATGAAAGCCCGTGATAATCAAAATTATTTTCATTACATGCACTGGTCATGTAGCGAAACTGTGAAGGTAATTGAAAATAACAGATGAGTGTCATCTGAATATTGTGCTGATGTAGGTGCAAGCAAACCAGTTGGTTGCTTGAGGCACATGCATATCTGTAGTCCAGTCCGATCGATGAATCAATCTCTAGCTGTATGACAGTGATTAACAAGACCGTTAGTTATGGCTGTACCATTTTTCTACACTAGCATTATTGAATTGTAAAGTGGCGATAGGAAAATCTGTCGGGACAATTACCCCCACCTTGTGTACTTGCGGTGCCATATACATATAGACGTCACTGAGGCCTTTTGAGATGAAAATTTCAGCACTGCTGTGTTACATGAAAATGATTAAAGAGCATAATATATTCATTTTACTGACGAGGGAAGAGCGATGACGCGCTCATGCCAGGAATAAATCTCGATTTAGTTACTATTTTAAGGAGTTTGACTGTAATTCTTAACAAATTCGGATTGATGGAATCAACTATTAATATTAAAACTATTACTAATAACAATGGAATTAACTATTAAGTTTTATTTCTTGTATTCATGTCAAACATTTACCTGCTTGTGATAACTGTTAGGATGTAAATATTATAAAATAATGCCTACTTTAATTAGTTCTAGGCAAAGTATAGGCCTATGCCATTATTTTGTGCCATGTTGTTTTTACCTAGCTTATTGATAGAATCAGCTATAATTCAATAAACAGCAATGTACAATATTCGTGCATGTTCATACATGCACACGTTTTCAGATGACCGAATATGTAACTTTTTAACAGTTTAACTGTATGCATTACTGTAGTAATACATATATATATATATATATATATATATTTTATATGAAAACAAGTCTATGGAAACTAGCACTTTCCCGGTGGCTCTTTTGGATCTTATTGTCGAATATGAAACCAAACAAGTGACTGTGATGCTGTCGGGATGAGGGGATGAAGCCAAATGTAGAAATGCATCACGTGATCATGCTGAAACACTAGTGAGGCATATATTTTATTAGATTAAGGAGAAACCATAAGCACGTGTTTAGTATATATATATGCTGTATATTATATGACCGAGATTTGTTAGCAGAATTGTAAACTTGGCCAGGAAGTCTTTTACGGTGTGATGACCACTTTGCATCATCGTATCTCACGATGAGGTGCTCGAGTTTTTCATTTAGATATTCTTACTGATCACCTTTGTCTTCTACATTGCATGTTCACAGCCTGCACGTTCACCGGGGTCACACTCAAATGAGAATACAACTGTAGATCGGCAGACTGGTAGCAAAAGTGTGGTGATTCTGGAAGACAGCGATACTGAGGTGGACATGGGGGGAGACGGGACAGACACCACCGGAGCAGACGATGGTGAGTACATAATTATATCCTCTCAGGCCATAATAAAAATATTGTTTGTTTGCCCTCACCCGACTGACCCACCAAAAAGGTGCCGACTCCAAATTTTTTATTGATCTTTCCCATTCTTTTTTTTTTACAAATTGTATCACTGTACATTATATAAATCTGTAGGCAATACATTATATATACCAAGCAAAACAAACATTCAACATAAAAAGGTATCTCCACACAAGCACACCCCGCATTTAGACACCATGCTGAATTTTGTAAAAAGACCCCCTCGAAAAAATAAAATAAAAAGCCTAGTTACCTACCCAAACTTTTCAGCCTGGGTCGGGTGAAGGCAAACAAAGATTTTTTTTAATGTGGCCTCAGTAGTAAATATCGCTCAATTTTCTCAGATGCTATCTCTTCAATCCAATGTCTTTTATAAGGCATTTTTTTTTACATCGGTGTGTTAATCGTTTTAAGGATGCACATGTGTATTATGTGATTATGTATTATTATATAATGTATACGGGTTAGTAATAATGATCGAGGGGTTATATCTCAGTTACTAATCAAAAGCACTTCTACTAGACTACCTGCTAGAAAACTTGAATAAATTTTGCTGAGAGAGCAATGTTTTTCTGTTAGAGCTATTGTTGCTAACAACAAATCGCGTGTCAACTATATATGATGATTTGCGCCAGGAAAGCATACAATTAGGCTACCACACAATCACAAATGCTTTGTACTTATGTAGACCTGTATATCTATTTATGAGGCTTATGGCAATAAGCATATATGCTTAGTCAATAAATTCATTTTATGTTAATGAATTTCATTTGCTTTTGTTCATATTATAATTCAATTATCCTAGCCGGACAAAAACGCAGATAAACACTATGTCATGAATATTATTGATCAGGTTGCTAAAGTATGGATGAGTGGATGGATGGATGGCTGGATTGATAGATAGATGGGTGGATAGATGGATGGACGGACGGATGGGTAGATGGACGGGCGGACGGGCGCACGTGTTGGTGGGTGGCTGAATTTGGGTTGGGTGGATGGATGGATGGATTGATGGACGGACGGGCAGGCGGGCGGGCAGTGTGGGCGACTGCAATCGTGAGTGAATGGATGTTTGGCTAATGGAAAGTAGGGCTGGCTGGCTGGATAGCTCGATGGATGGATGGATAGATGGATGGGATGGGATGTATGTAAGGATGGATGGATAGATGGATGGGATGGGATGTATGTAAGGATGGATGGATAGATGGAATGATCGATCGGCCGATCTGTATTCAGCATCTTTTGTTCTCTATTCTAGTATTTCGGCTACAAGGAATTTTACAAACTCTAAACCTACCCTTCCTTTCCACCAATACTTTCATCATCTGACCTTTAAATGTGGAAATGAGTTACAATAACAGCAATCGTGATCGTAAATGGTCCGGTTTATTGTGGAACACCTTCGCCATCAAAATCATTTAGGACTGCATTATTTATGTAAATGTTCTGCTGTCTCAAGTAAATGAGTATTTTAGAGCAGATGGCTTCAATTTATTGTTGCAGCTCTGGGATTTTCAGAAAAACTAGCAGGCGCTGGCCATTCTATCGTCTCCGTCGTCATATCCTATAAAACTCACAATGGCAATGACCATGGGTAGTAAAATACGGTATAGTTAGTGATACTAACCAATCATAACCAATATATCTAACATTTCTGTTAGTGGCAGTGGGAATTAGAGGAAATATTTTCATAATAGAGATTATCGGAAAAATATATTGTACACACGTTCTATGTAATTGCCCGAGTCCTCGCCCTGCTTCGCCATCAATCCTCCTACAATGTAAATATCGGACGCAATACCTTACACATCATTTAAACACTATTCTTAAAGCAATTTGTTATCTTCTCAATCATTCCTGAGATGAGAAATGTGTAACTGTTACCGGTACGTATTGTTGAGACGTATATAGAGCCGCTTGCAAAGGTATGAACAGCCGAAGCAGTTGTAGAAGCGTAGTAGCTAGCATACCGAGAAGCTGCAGATATAGTTTGCTGTCATGGCAACCAGAACGTTTAGTATTGGCAGGAATAATGAACCTGTTGACTCAACACTCTCAGATAGATCAATAACTGACATAATTAGCCTAACACATATACTTGCCGGGCAGTTTTATGCCATATTGTGACTATTCGGTATTTTCCGTCAGTTACTGATGTGAGAGAGAAAATACGCGCGCGCGTGAGTGCGTGAGGAGAAAGAGAGGCAGATATTGAGACCCAGACAGAAACAGAGACAGGGAGAGAGCGATAGTGTGTGCGTGTCTGCGTGCGTGCATGCGTTTGCGCGCGCGCGTGCGTGTCGTCTGTACACGTGTGTTCGTGAGTAATTGCAGGTAGGCGACTGTGTCTTTTTTACCTGAACCCGACTTGTACCTCACTTACAGCACCATTTCCCGTGTGGCGATCAATGAGGCATGTTATCAGCTAGCGTGATTGCATGGACATGCATGTGGCTAATCCATGCTGGTGCAATGATGACGAGTAATCATTTTAAGAGTAATTATTGTAATCTTTCCCTTTCAATCTACAAATATATATCATAGAAACGGTGCTATGGGAGTGTGTAAATTAGTAGCTGCGAAATCAATAGTATATATATTGTCTAATTACCTCCGCCAAGGGGTTGGCAGGAGGTTATGTTTTCACCGGCGTGTGTTTGACTGTTTGTTTGTGGGTTTGTGGGTTTGTTTGTGTACAGCCTAACTGGAAAAGTTATGGACGAATTGTCATAAAATTTTCAGGATAGGTCAGAAATCGCCTAACTTAGAATTGATGAGATTTTCGTGGTGATCCGGATCCAATTAATTAATTAAAAAAAATTTTCAGGATAGGTCAGAAATGGGGTAACTTAGAATTGATTACATTTTGGTGGTGATCCGGATCCAATTAATTAATTAATGAAATTTTCAGGATAGGTCAGAAATGGGGTAACTTAGAATTGATTACATTTTGGTGGTGATGCGGATCCAATTAATTAATTAATTAAATGTTTTACTTAATTAATTAATTAATTAAATTTTTTACAGTGAGACGATTCAGCTGCCTTGGCTGAGGTCTGTGCTTTCCGAGTGCTCTAGTTGAATCTGTTTTCACTTAATAAATTGCAGTAATTGGTTTATGTATTTGTTTGTGCACAAATGGCTTACAGTGGTGGCTTTGTTTTCTAAAGTCAGTGGGGAATGGGAGTATGTGTTTTACACGGAAATCCCATGTAGGTCAGGAAACCTTAAGATCTCTTGTAAAAATGTTGGACGTGTACGTTGCAGTGATGGGTTTGTAACCATAGCAGATTACATAGTGAATATGTCGAAGCCCCTGCGTCCGCAAAATCCCCGAGTTAACATACCCTATCCCCTATCGCAGGTGCTCCCACGCGAAGTTCCTTTTACATTTAGCTAGATGCTTGCCCGTTTCCGCATGGTGTGGAGAATAGCCTACTTTGACGCTGCTTATTGTGTTTATTACTGGTCAGTCTGTGGTCTGCTGCTGCCCTGCTGTCACGCGGGAACTGCGCAGGGGGAGATGTAATGAAACATGTCCGCTTGGCAACTGATAGCCGTGCATGGATCGATGCTAATGGCTGCAAAGCAGTATGCTATTGGAGAGATATAGCCGTGCATGGTGCACAATGATATTAGAAGCACACTCCACTGCCATTGGCAGCTCCCCGGGGCTAATATTGCCCTGTTCACAGCCAGAAATGTAGACTGTCAAGTGAAAGGGATTTGGTTGAACAGGATGCGACCAGCGTTGCGGTATCCGCCCGTATATAAATTATTATTCACGCGTGCGATGCTCAGCTGTCGACAGAGGTTAGCATTCTGCATAATGATGAAGGGCGCGTGGAGAGAATATTACTATTAGCATAGGAAAACAGCGAAACCGCATGATATTAAGATATTTTGTAACAAAATTTTCTGCGCGCATGTGTATAATTCCATACGCGTGCGTGTAGCGTCTCTGCACGTGGCTGTGATTCCACGGGTAGTGGTTGTAGAGGGGAAGACTCTATCCGCTTACACTGCGTGACACTAAGTGTTCGGTCGGCGATGTGACAACGTTTATTTCTCATGGTGGCGGTTTTTATCGGTATAATAGATCGCTGAGATCAGGGTGTACGGGGCAGACGCACACGCAAGCACGTACGCACGAGCACGCGCGCACGCACTGCGTACTTACGCACGGATGCACGCACGCACACGCATCAATCTTGTAATGCCGCGGAAGTATTACTTCATGCAAAACAAAAAAGTCACGCGACAGTGGAAGTAGTTGATTATTTATTTATGCACATGCTGCATTATCTCTTCGCTGGAGGAAGATGTTACTCGTCCCAATAAATTCCCATTTATCATTCAATGCGGTGCTACTTAAGAGATTTTATCCCCCACCTCGGAAAAACCGCGAGCAAGTGAGCAAATGGGTCGTAAGCCGAGCCGATGGAATCCGATTAAACTTTTGTGGTATTTTCGCCGGATGTAAGATCTCATGGGTCCGTGCCAGACACTCTTCCTTTGTTTTCCTCGCATTTATGTAGAGCGTAGCTGTTGGGAGGAAAATACTTGAGTGTCCGTAAAGAGTGTAGAAAGCATAATCTCATCGTAGGGTTTATGTGATGTCGTGCTCGATTTTTTCTCGCACTGACTAATAATGTATAAGTACACAAGAGAAAGAACATGTATGAATTTGCTCTTACATGTCATGGACGTACACAAAAATCGTGAGTTTAGCTCAGGCAAGGCAAAGGGACACTGTGTTCGTGCAGAAAAGATACGTGATGACGCTGACATATAGAGATACAGATGTCAAGATATGATATCTGCTACACACACACATACTACGCTTACATACGCACGCGCGCGCGCGCGCGCACACACACACACACACACACACACACACACACACACACACACACACACACACACACACACACACACACACAC